CGCATGAAAAAATACCCTGTGCTTACATACTTCTTTAATTCCCTTCGTTATCATACCTAATACAATAAACCCCTCAACCTACCGTTTTCTATCTCCATCCCGCCCTCACCAATCCGTCAAAAATGCTAGAGTACTTCTCATACAAGAAAGTAAAGAAGCACCGGGAGGAGAAGGCCGCGAAGCAGAAGCTGGACAAAGGGAAAGAGAAGGAGAAGATATGCGATCCAGAAAACGCCAAGGAGGAAACAGCAGCTGCAGGATCCGAAGCCAAACTAGAAGAAAGCACGGCTACACCACCGCCACAAATCATTTCACAACCCCCCGACGACAAGGACGACGACGACGACGACAATGCCGTACTCGAGGGCGCACCGGTCCTCGACCGTGAAGACGAGAAGTTCCTAGAGCGCCTCACCTCATCCGACGCGAGTCTGAATGACGACGGCGACGAGGGGCCCCCGCCACCTCTTCCCCCGCGCGTCAAGACGCCCGTCATTGACCTCGAGAGCGACACGTCCAGCGTGGAAAGTAAGGAAGTAGGAAAGGAAGGGGAATCGAAGGGTAAAGGAAAAGAGAACGAAAAGGAGAAAGAGCAGAAAGACAGCTCGAAATCCAAGAGCGACACCAAACACAAGCGCTTCACCTTCACCACGAGCTTCCTCCACCGCCGCAGCAACAAACACCACCCCGAAACCCTCGATGTCCCCGCCGGCGCAGAAGCGAGCACGCCCCACGAAACCACCGACCTCGCCCGCGTTCTCGACGACCTGGACCTATCAGCCAAGAACAACCGCGCATTCTCGCTGTCCGCCGAATCGGCCGCCATGGTGCGTCGCTTCACGCAAGTCCTCAAGGACCTGGTCAACGGCGTGCCAACGGCATACGGAGACCTCGTCTCGCTGCTGGACGACCGCGACGGCCTCCTCGCGCGCAACTTCGAGAAGCTGCCGTCGAGCCTCAAGAAGCTCGTCGCGCAGCTGCCCGAGAAACTCACCACCTCCTTCGCGCCCGAGCTGCTCGCCGTCGCGGCCGAGGCGCAGGGGCTGGAGGCCAGCAAGGAAGGTGGATTGAAGGATGCGGCGAAGAAATTTCTTACGCCTGCGAACCTGCATGATCTGGTCACGAAGCCCGGTGCATTGGTGGGCTTGTTGAAGGGCATTGTCAACGCCCTCAAGACGCGCTTCCCGGCGTTCGTCGGCACGAATGTGCTTTGGAGCCTGGCGGTATTCTTGCTGTTGTCTATGCTTTGGTACTGTCATAAGCGTGGGCGCGAGGTCAGACTTGAGCGCGAGGCGACGGAAGCTGCGGAAGCGGAGGGGGTGAAGGTGGACGAGGCTATTGGAGGCCCGCGCGTCGAGGAGTTGCCTGATGATCCGATGTTGGATGCCCCTAAGGCGGATACAGCTCGTGAAGGGGCGGGTGGAGGGGAGGTCAAGGCAAGCTGAAGTAGGACTTGGCTTGCTTGGTTCTTTAACGATGGATGGATTTGGCTATGTGGCGACGCGATCATGACGATGATACCCGGACTTTTTTCTGTTTATTTTCTCCCGGTTTCGGCGGTTTGATGATTACGATATAACTAATCTCTGCGATAGAGGATATTAATCTAAATGGGCTTTTTTTCTGGCACTGGGCAAGATACCAATGGATCGGAGATTGACAGTTTCTAAATGTAATGATCGAGTTTGAAGGCGACTAACTAACCGACTTCCTGACCTGATAGTTCTTCTTTCACATCACTTCACCTATATAAACACAACGAGGGGGATATTGAAGCACTACGAGGCGATGGAGACTACCCATCAATTCAGGTAAACAATTCTATTGAGGGTATTATTTCCCTTTGCCTAATGTTGATGATGAGTACTATCTGGAAAGGGTCGAGTTATTAACCCTTCCTAACGCCACCTACAGCTTTCTTGAGCTCTTTTGTTGAGAATTCACCGCTGCATCTCTATCTCTATGGGTGCCCGTAGCGATTAGATGATATTTGTATAAACGGCTTCTCATAATACCGCAGCGAATCGATCCAAGTCGATGGCCATGTTCCGGAGCGATAATTGATGATGAGACGGCAGTAGTTGAACTGCACCATATGTAGGTAAACTAGCGAGATAGATGCATTACCTCAGGCTCTTTCCCGGCATTCCGCGTCGACGCATGCTCAGTCTACGAAATGGCCGAGAGTGCAATGGGACGGGCGGAGAAACAAACAGCTCATCGGTGACGCTCAGGCCCTAAAAGCGCTTTAGTTTTGTTCCTAGTCCAGTACATGCGCTGTCCAAACTCCCCCAGATATAAGGTCCATTTCGAAGACGGAAACAAAGATAGATCCTAATCATCTTGGACCAACTCCTTGATTTCCTCGCTAGCAGGTGCGATGCCCACAGGTTCGGCCTTCTCATCACGTCCGCCGGTGCGGTCGAGCACGCGCGCGCCATCCTGCATCCAGAAGTCGACCTCGTCGACGACGTCGGCGACAATGTCCTCGACAATCTGCTCGTCGTAACGCTCGGCAAGAGCCCGTGTCTTGTCGAGCTTCTTCTGCTGCGGCGTACCGACACGCACTGTGTCCTCGTCTACATCCACCATGTCTACGTCTGCATTGCCTTGGGGGGCGACATAGCCTGGAGGCGGGTACCAGAAGTCGGGCCCGAAGTTGGTCTCGACAGAGCCGCCTCGAAATACACTGATGGCCGGGTAGTATCCCAGCATGCCGTCGTCTTTGCCTTCCCGCGCACCCGGTTGAACCTGAGGCTTTGAGGCGGGGGGTAGGAAGGCAAAGAGGTCGGTGAACGGGGTTCCCATCGGTACCCCGTTCTTATAGACTTTAATGTAGGAGTTCGGTAATGTTCGTAGAGCGGGGACGTTGTGGTTCGGGTTCGGCTTGTCGCCCTGCCGATTACCTCCCTGGCCGGACGTTCCTACAGGCGATGGGTTCATCAAGTCCTCCAGCTCTTTAGTTGTGTGGTAGTCTATCTTCTCAAAATAAATATGTGCCTTGAATCGGATAGGTATCCGGTCTCGAACGATATTCGCTGCTTCAACGATGGAGTCTTCCTCCTCGTTTAAGTCAACAGCAGGATTATACTGTCCCTGGACGATCTTCCTGTGTAGGTGTTCGGATGGCAGTCGAATCTCGAGTCCGATGACATCGCCCTCTTTTATATCCTCACCCGGGGGAAAGAAATCCTTAGGCCGTGACATGTGGACCTTCTGACCAGCAACGTCTCTCAAGCCGTAGCTGTAGGCATCGAAGCCGACGGGGGCATCGAGGGAAGCTTCTCGTCTGGCGAAACCTATGCGCACGTGGCCGTGTGACTCTGGTTGGTAGGCCGCATCCTTGCTACTGCCCGCGTTCTTCGTTCCCGCCTCGCTGTTCAGTATTCCCCTGGTCACCTTGCATTCCCAATACCATGTGCCCTCGCGCACAGCCACATTCGCCCTGGCCATGCGGAAGCCCTTGTCCGTGGTTACGTGCCGTCCCGACTGGTCGAAGAACATGTGCGTGGAGGCATCCTCAAAGCTGATGTGAGGGCCGTATGGCTCGGGTTCGGTCTGGCGGTAGTAGAAAGAGGAGGGGAAGACGGGGTCGGCTATGCAGTGTAGGTACTGGTAGCTCTTCTTATTATATACACTGGGTATCGAGGTTAGCGGGGAACATGAAACGGTATGATAGAATAGATGTCATCATGTTATAGTGTCAGGGCGGCTTACTGTTCTGAGGTTTCAAAGAACTGCAGCACAGCGCCGTCGGGAGCGGGGATGTCGTGGTGATGGGTGAAGATGGGACCCCGCGCAGGGTCAAAGTCGGAGGGTTTGGGAGGGGCCAACTTGAATCGCAAGGGCGAGGACTCGCTGGGGACGCGATCCTTGATCTTGGGATCCGGCGTGGCTCTCGAGCTATCGGTACCGCCGTTCCCACCAGCACCACCACCGGCGCCAGCGCCGATACCACCGCCAATGCCACCCTTCGACTCGCGCTTCTTCAGCGTTTCCTTCTTGGTCCTCGCTGGTTTCTCTCGGCTGGTGGTGGCTGGGTCATCGTGGGACTGCTGTGAGCTCGGGTTTGGGTTGAGCGGCGACGAGATGGGCGGCGCGTGGTCGTCTTCGAGGGCTCGCTTTTGGGGGATGGAGGATATTGGAAGTACTGGTAAAGGGACTGGCGTAACCTGCCTCTTGGGCACGTCGTCGGTGGCAGCAGCCATGGTATAGCGATGCGGCGGTAGCCTAACCGACTATCGCTACCACTACGTCTGTAGATATTTACTATCTCGCAATCGACATAGTTCGGTGCGAAGAAGTCTGTCTCTAGATGGGTAGAGATGAAGATGCGTTGTGAAAGTAGCCGGCTATCTAACTAGTGGTTGATAATGGTTTGCTGGTTGTAATTGAAATCAATTGCCATCATGTTCTGTTCGTACGATTCGGGAGGTTTCAGCAGGATGCAAGGGAGGGAGGGCGAGCCGAGGTTACGGGATACGTCAATTCAATGGGCGATTTATCTTGGTAGGTGCTACGTATATGCGTGGTTGGTCGCGACAGCAAAAGCTTGTTGAGGCTCTAGCTTCCCTCTGGCGCGTTCGCGTGCTGAAAGTGCTCACTGACGGTACCTAACCTGTCTATGGAACTCCACCTCCACCATCCCAATTAAAACCTGATCCCTACGAGATCTACTTAAATCTATATCCAGAAAACGAAGCAGTAGAATTAATTGGCCGTGATTGGTTGCCTACCACTATAAGAAAAGAAAAAGAGAAAAAAAAAACCCCCCCCTGCCGATGCAGTCAGTCAACACATGCGCAACACCAAACTCAAAAGCGGTTGTTAGCGTTCAGATGTTTGCCACACACCATCTGATATTTGCATAGAGCCAATAGTGTACAACCAACGAGCTTAATCGAAGATGAGATGGCGTGGGATGTAAAAATAAGACACTGATCGATCTCACTCTTACAATATGGTAATAAATACAACAAAAATTATGAAAAAGGAAGGAGCGACCAGCACGGGACTCGAACCCGCAACCCTAGACTGACCTCTACAACACAAGACACATTCTTTATTGGAATGGTGGTTGTGTGATGGAGTAGGAGGTCTATACGCTACCATTGCGCCAACCGGTCGATGTTGAAACGCCAATGATTTGGGCCTCTTATTTGGACTAGCAGTGCGGGGACCATCGGACATCGGACATTGGACGAAGAGCACGGGCGCGCGCTAAGTAGAATTGGTAGAATTTGTCTTAAAATTCAGCAAGCAGCTAGGTACTTATACGCGCATAGGACGAGCCGTAGGTATTTCTGTAGTCAAAATACACCCGGGGCAATTTAATGTTTGTACCTACAATGCGTAGGCAGGGATGGGTCCTTGAAGGTTGTTGAAATAAAGTGCTCCCCAACCTTGATTACCAGGTAAATACAGCATACTCATGCGCTAGGTGGTCAACACTGATGCAAAAAGAAAAGGAACGCAGGCGTGGAAATTGGGGCTATTCATTTCAGTGCTTTGATAGAAATGATAACTCAATTGAGAAATCATAAATTTCCAAGTCCTCTGTCTATTCATTTATTTTGCTTCCATCTATAATGAATTGTTAAGCTGGCCAAGACAGGTAGGTAATCGTAGGTTACCCGAATCAGCTCACAACCAAGCAGCTAACCTCATGCGCCAAGCCGGTACTCAGTCCCATAGCGTACTTATACCAGCAACCAACCATCCAAAATCTCTCCCCCCTTCCCCTCTCCTCCCTTCCTGTCTTTCCCATCCAGCCCCAACACTATCGCAATCCCGTCACCGGTCCAACAGGCGAAGCAGAAGGCGAGGCGCTCGCGCTACCCGTCGTCGTGGCAGTCGTATTATCGTAGCACTTGGCATCGATAAAGCAGTGGCAGCTGTCGGAGCACATGGCGCAGAACGCCGGGTCGGCCGGCGGGTTGGACGACGACCCGATCTGCACGAAGCCGCACGACGACGACTCCCGCCGGCAGTACAGGCACTGGTCGCATGCCGATGTAGTCAGGGGCGCCGCGCACCCGTAGTTGCAGTACAGCCCGCACGATTTGCAGTCTGCGGCGCACGACGGCCACGCATTTGTCGCCGCGAGCGCTGTGGGGAGGATAGCTAGTGCTAGGGCTAGGAAAGTTGGGGTGCGCATTGTAAATGAGAAGGGATGATTTATAGGTAGGTGTGTTGGTATTGATTGTTTTATGGTTTGAAGGTATTGCTTCGGACGATATGTTGTTAACTTGGTATGCGTGTGTGATGTGCTCGTGTATGTATTTATATGTATTCTTTGAGAGGAAGCGGTAAGTAGATACCTAGGTAGTCTAGGTTGTCCTTAGTCGATTCTCTACAGTCCATCTGCCTAACAGGCTGATAAGTTCTTACCTACCTCAGGCTAGGCAAGTCTACGACGAATCCTCTGTGTTTATTAATTAAAAAGATGATCTCCAAATCGCCTTATACCCGGAGCAGAAGCCCGGAACGTCGTGAGCTGCAGATCTCCCCACTACCAACACGAAATTCTCAGGCACTTGAATCCTTCCGCGAATCCCGTGAGTCAGCAACGAACGAGAAAGGGGCTTGACTTCAGCCCATCCGCAATTTGTCTAGCTGCGCCGTTTTTATGCTGAGGCGTTGTCTAGGGACCTGGGTAGGTCAGCTCATCACAACATCTCGTAGGACTGTGGCAACTATGTAGACAGATAGGTAGGTAGGTATGCTGTATACTAGTCGGTGTGAGAGCATGCTCCAGACTTCATAGACATGGGCTAGATGCCGGGCGGTCTAGACTACTTACAGTGTAGTGTTTGCTTGGCGATCGCTTAATACGAGATCGGCTATGATATTCGTATCTGTCAAAAGCGTATACATATGTAGTATCTCCGAGCTGTAACGTTCATTCTCACTCGCCGCTGCGCTAGATTTAATGCCTAATACCAGGGCTCTACTCTAAATACACACAATTCTAGGTGTTCAATATAATATGATAACGCCTATATAGGTAAGGTTTCAGACAGCCCACGATCCGAACCGTTGTAGTCGTAAGTGATTGTAAGACCTAACGACTTAGCAATTTCTTGAAGCAGCCGGTCGCGATGCCCTCGCTCTTCGGCCTCCTCCGCAATATTCAACAACCAGTGGACCGAGACGAACTCCAAGTCGTCTCCCGCACGAGTGATGATAGACCGGAAGATGTCCCTCAATTGCAGCGTAACGATCCCCCCATACCCGGACGTTTTATAAGCGGCCGTAATAAGGACGGCCAACCCTGCCGCAAATGCGGTCGCAGTCGCATTGGCCGACGCGCTATTTGCTTGCTCTAGTCCCTGTAAGCTCCCGACCGGAAAAGCGAAGTTGGCTTGAGCAACGGCCCGAGGCGGCATCTCCATGGCGGCGATGGAGATTAATGGCTCCTGATCCCGCCTACCAAGGAGAAGACTATCCGCCGAATCCGAGTCCGATGAGGGATGCAGGACGGGGATCCCAAGACATTCCAGGTCCTGCAGCATATTGGAGAGCTCTTCTGCCGCAGGACCTTGGCCTATCCCGAGCTTCCCGTGGTTCACCGGCGTGCCTAAGACGATGATCTCCACTTCCTGTCTCGCAGACCATCTCAGAGACTAGTGTGTTTTCTTAGCAATTCCTCGGGCTCAACGCCAATCATATGGAGGGTACCGCATATCTCCCCTAGATCTTGTTGATTCGGATTGCTAGAGTCTGCCTTGGCGATATAGAGTCTCGCTCCAGAGTAGCAGCGTGAAACGAGTGACGCTAGGTGAGATCCTCTCTCAGTGGTAGATATATGATATGACGTCCTACGATCGAAGGAAGCGCCGGCGACGACGCACGAGTCTACATTGCCAACATCAATACCATCATCCATGATACCCACTTCAACACTCCCGTTCTTGGTAGTGTCTCCCCATGGAAGCCATATCGTATGAAGGATTTGGGGCGGCGAGGTCCTATTTGGAGATGAGTCCGTAGTTGAATAGTTGAAGGCCCAAGGATTACATATCATTCCACAATGTCGTGTTCAGCCGTTATTACTGCTCTAGTTAGCCAATCCACTGTGTTAGACCATGTCGTTACTTCACGCCCTTTTGAGGGTTCAACGACATAGCCATTTTTCTAGTATATGGTAAAAGCCCTTTCCTTAGCTTGAAACCCTGCCCTCGAGTTGAGTAGCGTCATCGCGTACAATTTCCACGCTCTCGACTAGTGGGCGCACCAAAACGGAGATTGTTTTCAACCAAATCGGTACAGGTGATCGGACTTGTTCAAGAAGCTAGACATGAATGAGGAGTACCAAGGCCATCCTCGGTAGACCAGCCCCTCAGAACAGCGTTGTTTCAACTAGAAAATAGATTGACTTGACACAGCTTGGGAGCACCCCGCAGTAGTACAATGCTACACATATCGCTCTTCTTTCACTCTAACTCTTCAATCTCAAAGTGATTAATCACTTTGTTGATCTTGTGAGGGTGGGTTATATCATCACCTAACTCTAATATCTTCATCCGGGTGACCGCGGGTCTGCCCATGCGTTTGAGAACCTTACTGATCCGCAGCGGTTTAGGGCTGTGCCAGGGGATCAAGACGCATCTCAGATAAAGATGCAGCTTAACGTGGTCAATAACGCCGGGAAATGAGCGCAAAAGTAATGAAGACGGCGGTTCGTTACCATCTAACTCAAGAAGATCCACGTCGAGTTAGTCTTCTGTGTGTTGTGTTTGTCGGAATGTTGAATGGATGGTGGAAGGTAAAGATTCATCCTTTCCTTCGTCTTCGAGGATGTTTCGAAGCTGGCGTCTCACGGAGGTCTGGAGTCAATTATATGGGGAGTAGTGACCTGATGCCTCATACGCAACGGGATAAGTAAAATCTATTGACAGGTCTATTAAGGTCTTATTTCCGTATGATCCTCCCCGTGTGCTAGAACTCTTTATATAGGCCCAATTGCATATGTGTCAAGGTCACCTGGTCTTAGTGACTAACCTTAGCATCCCTAGTTTGGTCTCTCTGTCTCGAGATAGAGATACATCTGTTCGAGCAGAAGATCAGAGATCCGATCTCTCATCTCAAGTAAGCTGATCTCAGGAGTTGGGTCTTCTTTCGTCACCAGTTGGCTAGGGTCCGACTTAGATTTCGCCGTACGGCTCGCTGAGAGTGTTTCTCGTTATGAATGATTGGGTTGTGAGCCTAGCATGTTGTTATATTCGTAGGCTGCCGATCCTTCATTGTTGACGACCGTCGTAGTTTTCGGATGGGCTCGCGTTAACTCGGTAATGAGTGCAAGGCGATCATCGATGCCCTGTCCCCACATAGGCTTGTCGAATGATATTGTGAAGGAAGTGTTCCCATGCTTTTGTCATTTGCCTCCAGCGTTTTGTTTGGAATTTCCCGGATAATTGGTTTCCAAGCACGAGCGTCGCAGAGCACTGGAAGAAGAAAGTCAAGTAGATAGGGGTGTCGCCTCGTGAGCTCAGCTCCGTGCGTTGAGTAATTTTGAGTAAAGAATTTGGCAAACGCGTCTCTAATTGTCACAAGGCCTATACATGGGGGTAGGTACTAGTCTACGTTGTTGCGCGAGGGTCTCCAATACCCTCCTACGTACTATTACTATATACAAAACGGTCTCTTTGTTCCAAGGCTGTGACACTAATCTTGCCGGCGTCCTGCCTATTGAGGATGGTCCTCTCCAGTTCATCCTCGGCTAGGTACATGTCAGGGAACCGCTCCATCAAAACGTAGAAGAGAGTCGAAAGCCGCGCGTCCCATCTATCGCTAATCGCATGCATGATGGTGCTTTTGATTTGCCCCAGCTCTTGTAGGTATCGCTCTTCCGAGAGATCTAGTTTGGCTTGTTCGGCGAGATGTTTCCGGATTAGCCCCCCATGGGCGCGACTGACGCGCACATACTCGCGTTCCCTAGGATCCAAGTCCATCAAACTAGGACTGTCGGAGTACGCGCTTGGAGATGATGGCGTGGTTTCGGGACTCTTATGAGGACTCGCTTCATTCTCTTCCCTAGCCTCGGATGGTCATGTGTCTTCATCGTGCACGGAAACGGCAATAGTCTCGGCTAATGAAATGAGTGATGAAGGACGCCTTGGTCTCT